AGGCCGCGTGACGACGCCAGACACAGCAGGGACAGCACCAGGACCCCCAGCAGAAGCACCCGCTCCAGCAGCACCTCTAGCAGCTCCAGAACCTCCAGCAGCACCAGAAGCACCCCCAGCAGGACCGCCAGTGGTAGTCTCAGTGCCAACACCCTCAGCAGCACCAGCTCCAGTCGAACCCGCAGGCCCAGCAGCTCAAGTACTCCCAGTACGAGCACCTCCGGACCCCGCGATAGCAGCACCCTCAGCAGCCAAAGAACCTCCAGCACCAGCAGCACGCCGCCAGCGCCGGGCAAACCACTCACGCAGCTCCGGTGGGGAGAGTGGCTCTCGGCGAGACAAAGCACCCAGAGAACCTCCAGGCGAAGAACCTCCAGGCTCAGCACCCCCAGGCAAGGCACCTCCAGGCGTAGCACCTCCAGTCGCAGCACCCCCAGGCTCAGCACCCCCAGGCTCAGCACCCCCAGGCTCAGCACCCCTAGGATCAGCACCCCCAGGCTCAGCACCCCCAGGCTCAGCACCCCCAGGCCCCGCACCCCCAGGCTCCGCACCCCCAGGCTCAGCACCCCCAGTCTCAGCACCCCTTGGCTCAGCACCCCCAGTCTCAGTACCCCTAGGCTCAGCACCCGCAGCAGCACCAGAGTCACCAGTGACCTCGACAGGCTCGACCGCGTCTACCTGGGACACACCTGAAGGGGCAGGACCCTGAGGGGGAAGGGGGTCTACCGGGGGGGGACCTGGTACCAAGAAGAGCGGGGGTGGGGGGAGGGACGGAGTGCGGTAGGGGAAGAGGCGGTAGTAGGGTACCGACTCGTCGAACGTGACGTCCTGGGAGGACAGAACACGGCGAGAGGTGGGGTGGTAGAACTGCCACCCAGGGGCGTCGGGGGGGAACCCCAGGAAGACGCAGGGAGCAGCGCGAGGGGACAGCTTGTCCGCAGACAAGTCGCGGACAAACGCCCGAGATCCCCAGACCCGGAACGCCGACGCATCGCCAACCTTCCCGGTCCACAGCAGGGCTGGGGAGGTCTCCGGCCTGGAGACCCTGGGGTGGAGGTTGATCTGATGCGCCGCGTACCTGACCGCAAACGGCCACAGAAAATGGGGGGCCGCCGCATGCATCATAGACGTACGAGCGACGTCCATGACCATGCCAATGCGGCGCTCTGCAATCCCATTTTGCTGCGGTGAGTCCGGAAGCGTGAAGGTCTGACGGATGCCTCGCGCACGACAGTAGGCACGCAGAAGGCCAGAGGAGAACTCTCCGCCTCTGTCCGAGTGTAGATGCAGAACAGGAAAGTCCGAGCCAAAGCTCTGCCTGAGCTGGAGACGAGCTGCGCAAATCCAGTCGATCAGCACCTCAGTGACATCACCCTTGCTGCGCAAGGGGAAGACTGTTGTGTAACGCGAGTAGTCGTCAACCACCAACAGGAAGTAGCGCTCGTGACCTAGTCCACGGACGCGGGCAGGGCCCCACACGTCCATGTGCAGCGTCTGCAACGGGGCCTCTGTCGGAGGAAACTGGGAGGAGTGAGGGGCAGCACGCTGGCGCCCCTCGACACAGGGGACACAGGCAGGGCCAGGGCCCTGAGGAAGGGGAGGCAGGGACCGGGGGAGACCAGACACAAGAAGACGGGAGGCCATGCCTCTGAGCCGAAGCAGGGAGGGGTGACCAAGACGGTGGTGCAAGAGGAGAGTCTCGTGGGACAGTTGACGACACGAACAGGGGGCAGACTCAGGACCAGACCTGGACGCTGCAGCAAACACCTGACCAGACGCAGGGACCCTACCAGACTCAGCAACTGGAGGAGAAGCAGTGGTCAGTGTGTACAGGCTCGACCCTGGCTGACGGGTAAACGTAGCCTGGTGGCGACCTGTGCTAGCCTCTGTGCAGTGCGTCACCCGCTGACGAGCAGGAGTGAACTGGTGTACACCCGCATCCTGTAGGTCAGCACCACTCACCAGGTTCGTAGAGAACGAGGGGAGGTAGAGACCAGACAGGGTGCTAGAGGGAGCCGCCGGACACGGAGGACTGTGGAGAAGCGAGACAGGACAGGACCCCCAGAGGGGTCAGCCAGGGACACCGCAACCGGCCGACTAAGCGGCGTGAGTGTGGTGCGGTCCCGAAAGAAGGAGCGAGACGCCCCAGAGTCAAGGGTGAAGGTGTGGGAGGCCGAAGCCGACGCAGTACCTGAGAGCGCAGACTCAGTAGTACCTGAGAGCGCAGCCTCACCAGTACCTGAGGGCATAGACGCACTGGCACCTAGAGCAGTAGCCTCACTGGCACCTAGAGCAGCAGTACCAATGCCCGGGTCGGGCGGGAAACACCGGTAACAGTCACCCTCATCACTAATAGTCACAGCATACATGGCAGCAAGGATAGCATCAAAGTCAAGATCAAAGATAGCTACACCAGCCCTAGACAGCTCTCCCCAGCGGGGGATCTCAGTGGCCTCCGTAAACTGCTGGCGCCAAGCGTCCGTCAGGCGGCCAAAGCAGCGCTGGGCGGAGTGGGCACCCCCACACTGCTCACCCGCGCGGTCGCCGGTGCGAAGGACGTAGCTGCAGGGACCAAAACCCCCACCTCGCTGACGCTGCGTGTACCACTCACGGAGCTGCTGAGGGGTGGGGACGTCACGAGACCGCTGCTGCTGCTGCTGCTGCTGCTGCTGCTGGCGCTGACCACCCCCAGTGCTGCTCCGCTGCGAAGCGCCACTCCGACCACCTCCACCACCTCCACCTCCGCCGCCTCCGCCTCCACCGCCACCTCCGCCTCCGCCAGTAACGCCGCCGCCACCGCCGCCTCCGCCTCCACTGCCGCCACTAGCACCTCCACCCCCTCCACCACCTCCACCGCCACCCCCACTCCCTCCGCCACCGCCACCTCCACCTCCACCGCCCCCGCCAGCTCCACCCGCGCCCTTGCCCCCTTTGCCCTTGCCAGAGCGGCGTCTCCCGCTAGGGGCGGACGCCGCACCGACCGACTCAAGACCAACGAGTTCGGCCGCAGCGGCAGAGGCGACAAAGGGCAACAGGGGGGAAGGAGAACACCCCTCAAAGATGGGGGTGCGAGGGTCACCACGAGAAGCCCCTACAGCGACTATGCTCTTCTCTGCCGCTAGGAGGGACTTCTCGAGGAGGTCTACAGTGAGTGTGGTGGGACAGACCGAGAGGAAGTAGTCCCTGACTACACGAAGGGAGTCAGGGAGGCGGGTGACTGTGAAATAGAGAGTGATGTACATGGGGGGGGGGGGTCTTGGCGCAGAAGTCAGCAGGGAGCGCAGCGCGGTAGCGAGTGTCACTAGAGCGGAGGTGCGTAATGAGGTCAGCGACTGTGGGAAAGGCAGCAAGGTCAGGGAAGAGGAAGGGTAGCATGAGGCGGCTCAGTGCAGCAGTGGCAGGGGAGGAGTTGCGCGCAACTACAGCGTCGTACAAGGTCTGAGCACTCTTGTACTTACTAAAGTGCGCGCGCTCAGCGGTAGGCAGGTGGCGACGCACAGCAAGACGTGCAGCAGCATCGCGTGTGGCCCACTGGGAGCGGACAGTGGGGTCAGCATCAGCAGCAGGGGCAGGGACGCCGCCAGAGGTGAGGCCAAAGAGAGAAAGACCGTCTGCTCTATCGCACTGTAAGAACAGCTGCAGGTCGTCGACCCAGACCTCAAAGTCAATGGCGTGACCCTCAGCGTCAAAAGCTAGGACACTAGGGGTAGCCATGACAGCAGTCGACAGTCTCACCAGACAGGGCGGGTCGGGCAGCTCAGCAGCACAGCAACACGGCAACACAGCAGCTCGGCCGGCCCAGCAGCAACAGCAGCTCCGCGGGACCAGCGGCTCGGCTCCTCAGGCGACTCGGGCGGCTAGGGCGGCACAGGCGGCTCGGGCGGCTCGGGCGGCTCGGGCGGTTCGGGCGGCTCGGGCGGCTCGGGCGGCTCGGGCGGCTCGGGCGCTCAGCGGCACAGGCGGCTCGGGCGGCTCGGCTCCTCAGCTGCGCAGGCGGCTCGGGCGGCTCGGGTGACGCGGGTGGCACGGGCGGCTCGGGCGGCTGGGTGTCACAGCGGCGTACGGGCGGCGTAGGGCTGGGACGGCGGCGTGCGGCAGGGACGGGTGGCGCACGGGCAGCTTGGGGCCGGGACGGTGGCGAGGGGCCAGGACGGGTGGCGCACGGGCGCCTGGGGGCCAGGACGGCTGTGCGCGGCCGGGACGGGCGGCGCACGGGTGGCTTGGGGCCGGGACGGGCGGCGCACGGCGTCGACGGGCCAGAACGGGCGACGCGACTGCGGCGTGGGGCCTGACGGGCGGCGCACGGGTGGCGTGGGGCCTGACGGGCGGTGCGACGGCGGCGTGGAGGCCTGATGGGCGGCGCACGGGTGGCGTGGGGCCGGGACGGGCGGCACACGGCGTCGACGGGCCGGGACGGGCGCCGCACGAGCGCCTGAGGGTGGCGCGACGGCGGCTCGGGGCCTGACGGGCGGCGCGCGGGCGGCTAAGGGCGGCGCGCGGGCGGCGTGGGGCCTGGACTAGCGGCGCGCGGGCGTCTAGGGGCCGAGAATGGCGGCGCGCGGGCGGCTAAGGGCGGCGCGCGGGCGGCTAAGGGCCGGGACGGGCGGCGCGCGGGCGTCTAAGGGTAGGTCGACAGAGTGAAAGAGAGAGCCCGGAGCGCGCTCCGGGCAGAAAAAAAGTTCGAAGTGGTGGTGGGCCCTAAGCACAGTTCCCACAGGGGAACCTGCTCGATACAATGAGAAAAATAGAACGAGAATGAATCAACTATGAATGAAGTGAGTACATATAGGAAACCCTGGTTGGGTTGTACCCCCTATGGGATACCCCACTATAGCCTACACAAATATATATAAGCTATAATGTTCTGACACCATGTGCATGTCGCACGCCGGCCCGTTGTCCCAGCGGTCCTGCACAATCTCCCGAATATCCCCCACCTCTCCGCTTGTCAGGACCCCTTCCGCATGCTCGTCGAGGAAGCCGTGGATGTCCTCGGTGAGCTAGAGCATGAGGTCGTAGAGATGACCCATCATACCCTTCGCATCCGAGTCCGTCTTGCGCATGACGACGAACGGCAGCTTCATCAGCTTCGCAAAGAACTCGGCGCGCGTCCACCACGTGTCATCAAGGATGTTGACTTTGAAGGTATCTGCCCCTACCCTCTTTGGTGTCGTTGGCCAGTTGCGCGACTCATCGCTGAGGACCATCTGCATCAGGCCGGCGCGCACTTCACAGAGGCGGTTGATGGCGATGTAGTTGGTGCCGAATCGGGTTCCCGCGGGCTTGAGAACCTGCCTCCCCTTGCCGCCGTTCACTAGCTTGCTCCGCATGTATCCGAGGTAAAGTGATGGTTGCGGACGAACGAGATGAGGGTGTCCCCGCGCGTGACGACGTCCTTCGCCCATCCCATTTTCCCGATGTCCTCCATCAGGAGATCCAGGACATGGGTCGCGCACGGGATGTGTTGGATGTGGTGATACTCCGTCATCAACTCCCTGCAGGCCGCCGCGTAATTGGACCTGCCGTCAAAACACAAGGCCACAACATTCTCAGGGCCAACCTTTTCGATGACGGGGCGTAAGATGCCCGCGATGTAGCCGCCGATCTTCATCTCCATCTTGGTGTCAATCGACTTCACGAACACCGCTCCGCTATCGTTGATGAGGAGGACATTGGCTTGCAGGCGGCCGGTCTTGTCAAAGAACATGTCGCTTGCCACGGTGACACCGTCACGGCGCCAGCTTGCTGAGTTTGGAGCGAGAGCCGCCTCAATGCGCTGGCGACACTTTGCAAGACCGGCTCCACCGATGAAGCGTCTCTTCGGCGCGATGTAATTCAGCCCCGCGCGCTTGATGCTGGAGACTACATTCCGCCACAGTGGGTGGTCCGCGTGATGCTCCGGCACATGAAGAGCGGCGAAGAAGAGGCTTCTGGCCTCGTCTGCGGCCTGGTTCGCGCACGCGGCGTCATCGCCATAGAAGTCGGTCATTCGACTCTTCTTCTTGTCTGAACCGTTGTTGACTGTGTCGACCGCCGCAATTTCAGCCGCACGCTTCGCTTCACGGGCCTTCAACTTGGACTCGTAATGCGCCTTCACAGCGTCATGTGCTATCTTCGGCGCTGCAGTGCAGAGATGCACTTCGCGATGGCGCATGCCGTTCCAGCTGGTGATATGCTGCGCGCAGCGGTAAACTCCGCCTACGAACTTGAAGTTGCAGCAGGCACACACCTTGGTGCCGTTCTTGCCAACGCCAGCCGTACATTTGTAGTGGCGGTACACAACGTGCTTGCTGTCCATGGAGACCAAAGCCGTAACGGAAGAGGCCCCTCCAGCGGAACTACCAGGAGCCTCTGAGGGTGAAGAACGAAAACTAGTTGCTGTAGGGGTAGCAGCCATGTTTGCTGGGGAGAAGAGGTAGCTCGAATATGAAGAGAGAGAATGAATATCGAGTGAACAAATGCCACTCTTTATGCCTGGGAGATTGTGTTGGGCTGAGCTCCCTACCAATGAAGTAGTGGTTGAAGGGGGTGGTGGAATGCTGTGGCTTAAAGGGGTGTGAAACAGTAAAGGGGTGGGGTTGAGGGGGTTTGGAGCACAAAATTCAAAATTCGAGTTCAGTTCGCGACATCTGCGACTCAAAATCGAGATCGACACGTCGCGAGCTTCAGATTGATTTTTTTTTCGGTCTGCCCGAAATTCAACTCGGCGAATTTTCAAAATATACGCACCGAACGAATTCGTCAAGAGTATAAACGCAAAACGCAAAAGCAAAGTAGCGTATATTCCAACTTAGCCCGTGTGCCCTGACCTGAATGCACTTTCCACCATCAAACCCACCAGGCCAATGTATCTTGCCCTTGCCTCTTCTCCCCTCCCTGAAATTGCCTCGAAACCCATTTCTTTGCATGCCCCTCCCTTAACCCCGCCAGGCAAAGGTGGCAGACTTTGGGTTGCTGAGGCAGAACGAGGGCACAACGGTGGGGGACACTCGCATCATGATCTTGCCCTTGCTTCCCCTCTCCTCCCTCATTGTCCCTTCAAATCCCTCCCACCTCACACCAGGCCAAGGTGGCAGACTTTGGGCTGCTGAGGCAGAACGAGGGCATGACGGTGGGAGACACTCGCATCATGGGCACACCGGGCCATGTGGAGCCCGCTTACTTCAAGTCCAACAAGGCCACCCCCATGGCTGATGTGTACAGGTACAGAGCGGTGCAGTGTGGTACACTGGTACATTTGAGCGGTACAGAGCAGTGCAAACTGGTGTTGCCATGGAAGAGAGTACGTGAAAGTGGCAGGCACACCGGGCTGTGTCAACTCCGCATAATTCAAGATCAATAAGGCCAGCCCCATGGCCGATGTGTACAGGTACAGAGCGGTGCAGTGTGTTACAGAGTGTTCTTATCATGTGAGGAAGAGTGCAATGGATAGGCACACCGGGCTCTGTGGAAACCCGCTTATTTCAACTCCAACAAGGCGTCTCCCATGGCCGATTTCTTCAGGTACAGAGTGGTGGAGTGCGGTACAGCTTCATATTGAGCAGTGCAATATGGTTCAAAACCGGTATTGTGTTGCAAGGGATTGCTTGGGAGGGAGTGATGGGCACACGGTTCCACCTGGAACCTGCCTACTTAAGTCCAGCAAGTCCCCCATGGCTGATGTGCACAGGTCACGGAGCGGTGGAATGGGGTACAGACCAGTGCTAACCGTTACAGAGAGGTGGAGAGAGGTACAGAATGGTATAAAGCGGTGTTGAGCGAGCGGCACCTCTCAGCTTTGGCATCCTCATCCTGACCACTCTGTGAGGCCGCAAGGCAGTCAATGGGGAAGTTGTTTTATTCGACTAAACTACCGCTCTCCACTCCTTTCCGTACCTTCCCACCCTGTTCACTTCCCTTCCCCTTCCATGCCTCCTCATCCCCCAGCTTTGGCATCCTCATTCTGGCCACAATATCGGGCAACAATGCTCTCAAGGCGGATAATTTTCGGACTGACCCTACCGCTCTCCACTCCTTTCCATGCCTCCCCACCTCCCAGCTTTGGCATCCTCATTCTGACCACAATGTCCGGCAACAATGCTCTCAAGGCTGATGAGTACGGCAACAATTTCAACGTCAGGAAATGGGTGAGTTTCGATGCTCCTGGTGGTGCCTCAAAATCTTTGAGGCGCCTCAGAGACCACAATGCACTTAAAGCTGATGAATACGGCAACAACTTCAATGTCAGGAAATGGGTGAGTTGCCACTCGCAGTGAGGTGGCGTAAAGGCCACCGGGCACTCAAGGCGGATGAGTACGGCAACAATTTCACGTCAGGAAATGGGTGAGTTTTTTGTGTATGTGACAGTTGTGCAAGGATGGGTTTCTGTGGTCACTTGAGGTGGGGTTGTAGCAGGGGTGGGAGGAAAGGTGGGGGAAGGGTGGGGGGAAGGATGCCCCCCAAAAACTTGCCAGTGTTATTCAACCACCATGCCAAGTAGGCACCACGTAACGTGTCTGCTTCCTCAATCAACACCTGTTTTATCAACGTGAAACTCCATGTATTGTGTGCATCATACCGTGTGAACCCTTCCCATCCAGGCGGAGTCGTTAGTTGCGGCCGGCAAAGCAGAGGAAATGAAAGACCCGCGATTGGACGCCCCGGCAGATTTGATTCTGCGGCTAACGCAGCTGGCGCTGCGCTGCTCGGGCATGCCGACCGTGTCTCGTCCTGACATGATCCAGGTGGTATCTGAGCTCACGGCGCTCAGGAAGGAGTTTCTGGGGAAGGTGTCATCTAGGATGGCTGAGAGGATTGATGAGGAGGTGGAGTCCCAAAGAGTTGGGAATTTCAGTGCAGAAATAGAGATGATCGAAAAGCTTGCGTTCCAGGATAGCACCAGCGCAATGAGCATTCGCTAAGGAATGGAGTGAAGCAGGTCCCAATAGGCTATGCTTGTTGCTGTGGTGATAGGAATTATTTGATTTGAAGCATTATTTTCAAACTCAGCTAGTTCATTTACCTTTGTTAGTGTTGGTGGAAGCTCTCGAGGTTCGGTACATCTGACTGTAATGAAGCCGTCGATTGCAAGACCGATTTGCTGGCCGTGAAAATATATTTTGTGATTGGAGCTATGATGTCAACTTAGTCAACCTGGTCCGACCTCAGGAATCCCTTTCTTTTCTTGTATTTGCTTTGCTTTGCCAAACACTTCGAAGAAAACAAGCAAAACTTCTCCAGCACAAGCTGTTCTCACAATACTTAATTAAGCAGATGATCTAAGTTCCTGTTGTGATGAGTTCTGTGTTCGGCTTTCATTGCAACAATCACACGCACTTCACGGTCACTGTCGGCAAGTAACGTTGTGGGGCACGAGTCGCATGTATAAATTCTGAGATCGCAGATATTATGGTAAGTCGCAGGTGAGAATAGAGTGGTCTATAATTGAGCGTTGCGAGACGCAGGTGGTAAAATCTGCCGATTCGTGTGCTGTGTGTGACCCCACACCCATTTGTCCGTAGTGCAGTTACTAGCCAGTGTTGTGGCCACACTGTCATTGGTGGTTGCAAGCTCTCCACAGCTGGCGACGTCGCACGCCTCTTCCATTCAATCAGAAAAAGCGTGGACCATGCGTCAACTCTTCCTCAAAACTGTCAGCCTCCAGGCCACGTCCGCGCACCAATCCCTCGTCTTCGCGGAGCAAAAAAAAAGTGATCATCACCGTCAGCACCGATAATGTGCGCGCCTCGATCATTCATGTAAGCCGTCCACACGGAGAGCCAATTGAAATGCGCCGTGAGCTGCGCTAGCAAGATCGTTCGTGGAATTTCTTTGGGAGGTGCGCATAGACGTTTTTCGTTCGCTCGCACCCTTCGCCCGTACGGCAGGCGCACAATTATTCCCGCATCGCAGATTGGACCGATTTTCGTCCCTCCTGGGCCCTGTTCCGTTGACGCACCACTAGGTGCGGACCCCTCCGCACAGCACCAATTGATGCTTCTTCTGGGCTTCGACCGGAGATCCTCGGAGCTTCATTTACGGGGGCGCATTCCTCGATACCAGGCTCGGGAAACTGAACCTCTTCCCGGACCTAAAGAGTGCAGTGCAGTCCGTCCGCCCAAAAGAACGGTGAACCAGTGCAGCAAAAGTGATCCCCCGCTCCCAGGCAAAATGGGTGCGGGGCTGGTGCGGCCCTAGTTCCCTCTCAGAGGGGGGGATCAAGGGTCCGCACTAAGTGGTTCAGGGCAGGGGTAAATGTATTTCTTTGTCCTGGTTGGTCCGTTTGCTTTCAGGCCATCCCACCATCCAATAGTTGGTGGCGAGAGGAAGATTGACGGTCTGCGATCGAAAATAAAACTTAGCCGTGAAAATACGCGGAGGGGGGCAGGAAGTTAGCGTGAGCCTTCAAAAAAAATTATGCGCCCCGAGCCTCCTGTCGCACAGCTGATGCGGTGCAGTGCTGTCTGCCCACCATTTTGCCGATGGGCAACAGAACAGGGCCCTGGAAAAACACTCGGCGCAGGAAGTGCAGCGCCTCATTCAAACTCCCCCTCCCGACCGTCCACTGTCTCCGTTTCGCAGGTAAACGACCTTCACACCGCCAGTCACGCTGGAGCGAAAACTGGCGACAAACGATTCTCCTCCTCCTCACCCCCCTCCACGCTCGCACCTCCACACCGCCAGACGAAGTGTCCAGCTGTCTGCTTGAATTCGCAATACTTTCGCCCAGCGAACTGTGCTCGTCGCGGGGTTTAGGAAGGAGAAGAAAGTGGTGGTGAACGGTCGACTCCATCCCTCCCCTACGTTTTGCACACCTCCGCAGGAGCAGTGCGACAAGCGTGCGCGACTACTGTTCCCCCTCCTGACACCAACGATCACCAACAGAACGAGGCGCACATGACACTTCCCCATCACGCGCGTTTCCTCCCACCCTCCCTCGCGCGCAACAGCGAGTGTGGGTGGGTGGGACGGTGGGTGGAGACCGTCCGTCAATCGATCACAGTGAACAGTTGCACCAACCAGCTCCGCCGACGTTCGAGACGAGAAACGGTGGTTTGTTTGTTCCCCCTGATTCCTGCACCAGCCGTCGCTTTTCAGCAGTTTCACACGGCAATAGACCCGCAGGCCAATGCGCTTGCATAAAGTGCAGACCCCTCCCCCATTCTCGAGGACAACGAAAGCATTCCTTCCAATTTCCTACCTACCAACATTTTCTGCTGGCCGAATATCCCACCCATTTAGCAAAATTGCAACATAGTACTGAAAAGCTCAAAATAGTTCGGCCTCCCCACCATAATCAGAGCTCTTCGCGTTACTAGA